CAGCAACTGACAGAAACATGACTGCTAACCTTGTAAGTAAATAAGCTGTACATAAGAGGACCAAACAAGAGATTCTTTACAACCTATACACCACAAAAGAGAGGGTATCTTACTTACCACAATATAAAAGGTATCTTATCTAAAATCACTTACCCACAAACATGGTTATTTAAAATTGATACTTTTGTTTGGTAAAGTGTTTTAAAAAAAAAATAATAATATCTAAAATATTTGTCTTTATTTTTCTTCCATTTTGAAACTCATGACTTGTTCCTAGCCCTTTATAATACAATTTCCAAATCAACTTTTTCACGCGTCTTTGGACACATTGATACCAACAAATTTGTACTTCAAAGTTTTTTGAGTTTGATATATATTAGAGGCAGAGCGACATAATAATCATTACACCATCAAAAATATGACGGGATGGATATGATTCCTCCACGACTCCATCCTTAACAAGGAGTTTTTAGATCGAATTCTGAATATAGAAAATTACTGATAAAGAGCATTGAGGATGAAGAGGAATGAATCCGGATTAATCAAAGGCCCAACAAGTACCGAATACCAGATGGAAAATCAAAACAATTAATTATAAATATATTCTACTAAGTAACATCTCATAGGAAAAAATAAGTTGCATTATTACTATTTAAAAGGTCTTCAGTGAGAGAAGTATTCATATAAGGCTAATGGCTGATATTTTTGATAGAAATTTGGAAATACAATTACAGACCATGTGAACATAATAACACAAGATACGAAAATATATATGTGCTAAATATATCCTAATGATTATTATACTTGCATTCTAGGTCATTTAGAGGATTTAACAGGAAGTGTCACTTTTTCTTTCTCCCAAAATTAGCATTAACTAATTCCTATAAATACATCAAATACCATTGAATTCTTTAATTTAAAGAAGATTGCATAAAAAAAAAGAGTTAACAATCATAAACGAGATTATGTATCTGATAAGGTAGCTATATACAAAGTGCCAATTGGTCACAAAATTCTACTTCAAAAAGAAAGAACAAAAGGGCAACAAACAAGGCAGTATGAAAATTAATGTTTTATATTCCTGATTTTTAATAATTCTGAAATGCTTTTAGTTTTAACTGTGAAACCTAACAAAATTGTATAAAATTTTTCTGAATTTATTATCCTACATACATACATTTCTAATTACAATTTTAAGTTTGTCTCCCAATAGGACTCATAAACACATCTTTCCTAGGTTATTAGTTAATTGTACTAAAAACAGGAAATATTAGAATAAAATTACTAATAATTGGGGTTGTTTGTAATTGATCATAACACTTTAAATAAAATAATTACACATGTAATTAAAAATTTGATAAAGTAATTCCAAAAGAGAAAATATCTCTTTCTAATTAAGATATTCAAATAGTTTAAATGTAGTTCTCTCTTCTATTTGTCTATATTAAATTCCCACTTAAAACGTATCCATCATATTATCATGACTTTTTCAAAAGCGTAGGATTAATGATCAATCAAGTGCTAATTAATGAATATTAATCTATACGTTTTTGTTTTCTATGCATGACAAGTGACCTTCCAACTACTCAAATTGACTACCACAAAAGGCAAAAATTAATGTTATATACCGTTACAAATGCAAAAAAAAAAAAAAAAAAAAAAAAAAAAAAAATTGTAAGAACCTATTGAATCCAAAGCATTATACATCTCTTCTATAGGTTTCTCTCCTTTTTTTTTCGGAAAAAAAAAAGTTAACCATCTAAATGGTTAAATTCAAAGAGCAGCTTGGTGCACCAGGTATTTCGCGTTCACACAGAGAGCTTTCTTTGGACCTTGCGTGACCACGGGTTGTTGTGCACAGAGCTGCCTTTTTAATTTAACCATCTAGTGTCGATAGTTTCCTGTTGCTATTATTTGATACTACTACTTATCCTTTATCTCTCCTTTTTTTCTCTTTCATCTTTCTTCCTTCCTTCATTGCTTCCCTCTTCTTCTTCTTGCCCTTCCTGAGCCGAGGGTCTATTGGAAACAGCCTATCTACCTGCATTAGGTAGGGATAAGGTTTGCGTACAGCCTACCCTCCCCAGACCCCACATATTGGGATCAAACTGGAATTTTTGTTGTTGTTGTTGCATCTAGTGTCGCTAGTTCACTGACCCGACTAATATGAGTTCGCGTCTAGTAAACTTACCCTAAGATAGGGCATTCTCTACCAAGAAATTTTGCATTTTCGACTTATAAGCTCTATTTATTGAGCAAAACATAAAAAGCTTTAAGAAAGGAAAAGTCAAAAGTATCTAAGAGAACAAAAAAGATATTCTTTACTGCCACAAAACTAACAGTTTAATTAGACAAACAAAAATGGGA